ATTTAATAACAAAATTTTCTAATCCTCCTTTCCAAATCACTGTTTACAATTTACATCCAGTTTCCTGGAGCTGAGGTTGCGCAGTGGTTAGGGTGCAGTAGTGCAGGCCACTTCAGCTGACTGTTATCTGCAGTTCAGCAGTTCAAATCTCACTGGCTCAAGGTTGACTCAGCCTTCCATCCTTCCGAGGAGGGGGAAATGAGGACCCAGACTGTGGGGGCAATATGCTGACTCTGTAAACCGCTTAGAGAGGGCTGAAAGCCCTATGAAGCGGTATATAAGTCTAACTGTTATTGCTGTTGCTATGTTATACCCATCTCTATATATACATCGTTATCCTTATCCCTCCTTTATTTAGCTATATCCTGTAGAATTGCAATCTTAATGTAAATTATTGTTGATTTTACAAGTAGTAGTATTATTTGGCCACATGCCTGAATTGAGGAACTATGTTTGGAATTGTGTTTTTAACAGGCAGAAGAAAGATGACCATCTTTAATAAACTCAATCTGGGCATCGCTGTGAGCAGTTTTGCTATATTTCAACTTAGCTTTCATGTGCTGAGTTCTTGGCTATCTTCACGCCTAACATCTGGTTTTAATAATCTTGACCAAAAGAAGAAAATTGAATGGAACACAAGGTACAGTTTTTAAACAATCTTATACAATTATATATAAATATTTTAAAGTTCGAAATGTTTAGGCTGTTGTGAACTTGTTCAAACAATATCTTGGATTGTTCAGGGGATTTCTTTTAGACAAACGTAGTAAGGATTTGTGTTAAATAATCTTCAATACAAAATTGTCCTTGGGTTATTTATTTAAAAGTTATCACTTTATTAAAATAAAGTTAAATTGAATGAATAACTATTAATCTTCCATTATTTTTCTGGTTTTTTTTAAATGGTTAAATGATAATGTATAATATTCAGAGTACATTGTATTGTCAAAAATTGCAATCTTAATATAAATTATGCCTTGATCCAAGTTCAAAGTGCATTCAATCTAGGATATTCATAAAATATTATCCCGTTTAACTTTCTGAATTGGTCACAATATACAAATTATTTTTAAGATGATTAATGTACTACCTGTTCTATTAATTCATGAAAACACACGTATTCTATCATCTGTAGAGGTTCCTTGCATGTAGTGTTGTATCTAACAAATGTTTGTTTGTTTGATTGATTTTTGTCTCATTTTTATCACTTTATAAGTAACTCAAACAGCAAACATACATAATATTCCTTCTTCCTCCTCTTTTTCCCAATAACAACAAATGTCTTGTTGAATAAATGCAGAAATATTTTACTGAGAAAATATTACCGTATTGTTTGGAGTATAAGACGCACCTTTTCCCTCAAAAAAGAGGCTGAAAATCTGGGTGTGTCTTATACACTGAATACAGCATTTTTGTGCCTCCTGAAACCCTGCCCCTTCACCAAAATGGCCGTGCATAGCTTGTAGGAGGCTTTCAGAGAGCTCCTGGGGACTGGGGAGGGCAGAAATGAGCAAAAAAGGCCCATTTTTTGCTCAGTTTTGTCCCCCTCCCCAGCCCCTAGGAGCACTCTAAAAGCTTCCTAATGCCCTTTTTTTGACAAAAAAACGGGCCCGTTTTTTGCAAAAAACGGCCCATTTTTTGCTCGTTTTTGGCCCCCCCCCGCAACACTCTACAAGCCTCCTAAAGGCTATTCATGCCCTTTTTTTGAAAAATAAAACCACACCCGCTTTCACGAAAAACGGGCTGTTTTTGGGAGGTTTGCAGAGTTAGGGTTAGGTTAAAAACTTTTTTAAAAAATTGCCTCTTCAAAACCTTGGTGCGTCTTATACTCTGGTGCGTCTTATACTCCAAAAATATTTAATATGTTGGTATCAATGTAGATACCTTCTGCCAACCTAGCAGTTCGAAAGCATGTAAAAAGGCAAGTAGAAAAATAGGAACCACCTTTGGTGGGAAGCACAGTTCCGCGCTCCTTCGGCGTCTAGTCATGCCGGCCACATGACCACGGAGACATCTTCTGACAGTGCTGGCTCTTCGGCTTTGAAACGGAGATGAGCACCGCTCCCTAGAGTTGGGAACGACTGGCACATATGTGCGAGGGGAACCTTATCCTTTACCTTTATCAATGTAGATTATATAAAGCGTGCAGATTCATTTCAAATTGTTTCAAGTTCAATACTTTATGAAACTTTACGATATGCAAAACAAGTATTGAATTGAATTGAATTGAATTTATTATATTTCTATGCCGCCCTTTTCCCCGAGGGGACTCAGGGCGGCTCACAACCCAAGTCAAGGGGGGGGGGGTACAAATAAGGAATAAAAAAGACGAACAAAACAATACCAAAATTTAAAAGCACGCAACAACCATACCATTCGAGGGGGGACAAAAGCTCATTAGCCCCAGGCCTGTCGGAACAGCCAGGTTTTAAGGGCTTTGCGGAAGGCCTGGAGGGTGGTGAGGGTTCGACTCTCCACGGGGAGCTCGTTCCAAAGTAATTTCATGGAAAAGCTCAAAAGTGCCCAATTCAGGTTGTTGCACAGAATAGAATAAAACTATTGATTTAGTTGCTCGGCCGTATCTAAAAAATATAAAACTAATAGAAATATACAGGTGGACACAAAGAAAACAACAGGATACGTTCATAGTAAGTCATCACTTCGACAGTTAAACTCAAACTGATCTAAATATTTTTTTCTCTGGCCTTTGAAATAAAGAAGGCAGTGATATGCAGGTTAGTTCCCTGCAAAAAACAAGGGCTTCTCCCAGGTATTTTATACTCGCCCCAATATTTTTTATTTGTAGTTTTTAAACAAGAATCTAAGTATGCAATCTTTTCTACAAAGTACAATTTGAGCTTGCTTGTTTTCTTGCAAACGTTTCATTGCCTCAGCTAGGTAACATCATCAGTGCTAGTAAGGGGGTACTGTTTGCTATCAGTTTATATTCTGGTTCTTGCCTGTCTGTTTAGCCATGCAAGCGTTTAAATATTTTTCCAACTGGCAGGCTGATTTGTGTTGAGCTAGCCATTTCAGAGGCTTGACATACTTAAATTTCACAACGTTTCATGCCTGATCAAAAGGAAATGTTTTACACATCCCTATTGTGCAAGCATTTAATAGAACACGAAGAGAACAGTTCCTGACTTAAAGGAGTTTATAGTCTAAATCTGGTTAGTTATCGCTGCATATATTGTGCATATTTTATTGGAGAACAATTAAATTTGCTTGTGAATTTTTTCCCCCCAAAAAATAATAGTCTGTGTATCTGAGAGAGGAATGCTCTACATTTTTTTTCTCTGACTTGGAGTGAAGTCAAATGAATGGATACCTTGTTAGACTTGTTTTTCCACAAACGGTTTTTATTTTATTCAGGCAGACCGCATGGCAAAATATAAAGTTTTTACGTTACATTACATTTTACAATGTATGTTCTGTATTAAAGCCAGAAAGCTAACAGCAACGTAATACACCAAGCAAACATGATTTCTTGAAATAATAGACAATAGAAATGTAATTCAGGAAAAAGATACATTTCCCAGTAAGCAAATAAGGGCTTTGTATTAAAATCTGATCCATAGTGTAGAATTCTCCTCCTTATTTCAGCCAACAGATATCCCCAGAAAGTTTAATATTCTTGATCTTTTGGAAAAGCAAGGACATCAGCCTGGCAACCAAATATAGGTTAGTTCGTTCTAGAGCCGAGGTGGCGCAGTGGTTAGGGTGCAGTACTGCAGGCCACTTCAGCTGACTGTTAACTGCAGTTCAGCGGTTCTAATCTCACCGGCTCAAGGTTGACTCAGCCTTCCATCCTTCCCAGGTGGGTGAAATGAGGACCCAGACTGTGGGGGCAATATGCTGACTCTGTAAACCGCTTAGAGAGGGCTGAAAGCCCTATGAAGCGGTATTTAAGTCTAACTGCTATTGCTATTGCTATTGTGCTCCCCATAAGCTACCTATGGTTCTAAAAGTTGGACCTTTAAAAAGCAAGTCAGGAAGAAAATCGACTTGCTTGAGCTGTGGTGCTGAAGAAGGCTCCTGCGTATTCCTTGGACATCAAAGGTGACTAACAAGCAAGTATGGAGTGCATAACATCAGACATATCACCAGGAGGCAAAATCATGAAACTGCTTCTTACTTTGGCCTTGTCACGTGGGGGAATTCATTGGAGAAAACAATTCATGTTTGAAAGAATTAGTAATAAAAGGAAACCAGGCTGTCAAAGAACACAGTGGTTGGACACTATCAAAGCTGACGCCAGTCAGAACATAAGGTAAAGGTTGCCCTCGGGCATAAGGGCTAGTCATTCCTGACTCTAGGGGGCGGTGCTCATCTCTGTTTCAAACCCAAAGAGCCAGTGCTGTCCAAAGACATCTCCGTGCTCGGTGGCCAAAGTGGTTCCAATTTTTTTACTTACATGCTTTTGAACTACTAGGTTGGCAGAAGCTGGGACAAGTAATGGAGCTCATGCTGTTACGCAGTACTAGGGATTCGAACCACCGAACTGCCGATTTTTCTGATCGACAAGCTCAGTGTTTTAGCACTGAGCCCCCGCATCCCTTAGCCAAAACATAGAAAAACTCGAAGAAATTGTGCAAGATCGGAAGATGTGAGAGACTTGGCCCATAGAATCGCCAAGAGTTGGCCTTGACTGAACGGACAACATCATCGTAATCTTGATCTTTGTAGATTCCAGATATAACCAAGCAAAACATATGCATCATAAAGCAGTTGATCCCGAATCATAATAACAATTAGTTGATATATTGCAAAATGGAACAACGAATTTGGCAAGGCAAAAACTATATGGAGCAAATATCTATGGAGATTCTCAGTTATCCTGGTCATAGTTGTCCCAAAGGTGATTTTTCAAGAGGCAACTGGACTTTCTGGGGTTTTTTTCCAAGATGTTTCGCTTCTCATCCAAGAAGCTTCTTCCAGAGCTGAAGAAGCTTCTTGGATGTGAAGCGAAACATCTTGAAAGAAAAACCAGAAAGTCCACTTGCCTCTTCAAAATATATGGAGTAAAGTTTCAATTACAGAGTTACAACTGTAGTATAATTATAATCAACCCACATTATTTTTAATGAGCTTATCCAGTACATAAGAAACATTTATATTGCATATACTGTATCTCATTTTAAGATCATAGGAAGTTGTTTCTTTTTTTTTTTCATTATAGTGTCACCAAATTAAAGGTAGCGTCTGCTTAATGGGGATTGATTTTGTCTTTTTAGGACAGTATCTACGGTCCATGCCTTGGTGGTTGGAATATTTTGCATGTATATTTTATTGTGCGATGAAGCTGTTAATGCTGACCGTGTTTGGTAAGAAATTCCTTGGTTTGTAAATCTCATTTTCCCTGTCCTTTGTTGTTATTATTTTTTTGCTGGTCAAATTATCATCAAGTTTAATTTAAAAAAACCTAAGAGAGATATATCTATTTGCTACCCAAAGTTTTCTAAAATTACAGTTATATTTAATAAAATGTGGAGGACAACGGGGGGGCCTTTGCTTCATTAAAACAAAAATCTGAGGCAGCCTAACCTCAACTAATACTATACGCAGGTAGTTCCAACTTACCCCCATAATTGAGCCTGTCCATTATAATCGCAGGTCATAACTTGAGAGACCGCCTCCTGCCAATTACCTCCTTGCGACCAATTAGATCGCATAGATTAGGCCTCCTCCGAGTTCC